GTATATCTAAATAATACCATTTTAAACACCACATTTATTTACATTTTATTTAAATAACTGCATTTTAAAATTCTTCTAAAATGTGAAAATCTGTGATTGTTTAATAAAGAAAATTGACTTTGTTTCAATGAAAATAATCTCAATCTCAAATCTAATCTAATCAAAGGTCAAAAAAAGTTTATGACTGAAATTCAGCACTTATTGATGTTTTACAGTTATTACTTTCGCGCTGTTTGTGAGTGATTCATCTACTGTACGTATTCTGCGAGTGCGTCTGTCTTTAATAAAACACTCATTCAGAGTCGTGTTAGAGTCCGAGCGCGTGAAGGCGGGAAGTGGTAGCTCCGTGGTTAAGACGTCTGACTTCCGATCGGAAGGTTGTGAGTTTAAATCCCAGCCCCACCACTGCTCAGTTGTATAAATGAGATAATTGTAAGTTGCCCTGGATAAGGGTGTGTGCTGTAAGTTAATAAGCTCTGCAGAGTTTTAGTTTCGTTTTTTAATTGCTGTTGTGTGTCATTTTGCTTGTTGTGTGGTAATGATCGTGATTAAATTGTGTGTAATGAAAGAGTAGAAACTCCAGGAGTTCAGAAACCTTTGACTTGCAGTAATGTATGTATGTATGTACTGTGTGTGTGTGTGTGTGTGTGTGTGTGTATGTGTGTGTGTGTGTGTGTGTTGTGGTGAAACAGCGTTAAGGCTCGGCATTAGGGCACGAAGCCGTTTTGCTCCCATCATCCTGCTGTAGTTAACATCTCTGTGTCCCTCAGCGCTCCGGGATTAAAGTGAGCAAAAGAAAATGCATTGGCTGAAACAAGTGATGGACAGGATGGGAGAATAATACATCTCTCTCTCTCTCTTTCAATTCAATTCAATTCAATTTTCAATTCAAATGAGCTTTATTGGCATGACTGTGTAACATCACAATGTTGCCAAAGCAATAAATATATTATACAGACATACAGATAAATATAATCTAGGTATCTAAATAAATAAGTAAGTAAGTAAGTAAATAAATAAATAAATAAATAAATAAATGAATGAATGGATAAATAAATAAATAAATAAATGAATACAGAGAGCAGTTATAGATGTGAAGGGGGGATCAGCCTTTTTCTCTCGTGTGATGGCAGGAGGAGACGTACTGCACTGCCAGGTGGAGACACTTTTCCTTTTCTCCCAGAATATAACA